AAAACACCGTCGTGTACCTTGACCCCCTCCATCATGAGCGGTCCTGACGACGGCACATATCTTCTTGGAGGAAACGAGGCCATGAAGCATTCGGTTGACGACTACAAAGCCATTTTGAAAGAGGTACAGCAGAGGAAATCATCAACAGACAACGAAAAAGGAAGACTCTTACATGTATGTGTGAACATCCTGAACAAGAGATCCCGAAGAACGAACTGGCCACCATGAATGTGACAGGCAACTCTTTGGGAGCAAAACCGCGTTTATATGTTAGATTTTTTAAACAACAAATTCGACAGGAGCATGCGAGTCAGCAGACTTTTGTAAATGTGGATGAAGCGTTACGAGCTTACAGCGAATTGACCGGTAAAAATATAATGCCGTTGCCGCCAGAACCTAGATTATCCGATTTTTACGCGCCTTCCGAGGATAAAAAATTCAGGAATTTATATGGATTATATCCGGGACGGCTTTAGTCGGTTTCTTAGCTTATCAATTTGCGTAACTTTATTTTAAAATCTTAGCTTGTCGATTTGCTTAACTTTGTTTTAAAATCTTAGCTTATCGATTTGTGTAACTTTATTTTAAAATCTTAGCTTATGGATTTGCTTAACTTTATTTTAAAATCGAGCGAGAATTTTCAAAAAGCCGTCAAATTAGACCAAGTGAAACAAACACCTAGTGCACCACAAAGAGCGAGTGAAGCGAGCCAAAAAAAACCCGCATCCATCTAGCGTGGTCATTCGGTATTTATATTACCCAGGTGAACAAGAGGGTGGAACCGTCAAAAGGGCAACAGATCTGGTCTGGTCAGTGGACGTTTATCAAAGTGAAAAACGCATGAGTCAATTTAAACGAGTAAATGGCAGGCGGATAAAAACGGGCCCCACTTTATATTATTTATGAAATGGGCCAAATAGGAGTTTCGTTAAAGAAGAGCTTCAAGTGGTACCTGAAGACACCGAATTACCGCCTGAGTTTTAACTGCGCAAAAACTGAGTTGAGGGCTTTCTTTTTGTCGGTTTAAAATTTGAGTTGTACAAGGCTTAACAGATAGCTTAGCTCGCTCGAGGTCAGTTGCTTTAAATCCTCTAATCCTCGATTGACAATGTCCATAAGGCAATGTATCTATCCCATTCGGCAATATATAACGCTTAGTACCTAATGGTGACAGACTTAATTTATTTTGCGTGATGGTGTACATTCGATGTTTGTCTGATCTAAAGAATTGCCGTTCATTGAAATGCTGCTTCTGTTCAAATAGGCAGCTTTTATACATATCGTGCGATAGGTGTTTTTGAGTTACTACCTTTGTCATGCATTTCGCGTTCTTTCAATTTTGATCGGTAGTTAAGATCGAATACATTTTTGGGCGTATGCAAACGACTTCTGAAATTGTTTGACCACCAAATTCGTCTTTCATCTTGCCTATGACTTTTTAATTTTTGAATCCTAAAGTTGATGATCGGGCGGGTAATTGCTAAAGTCAAATAGTGTACGCTTTTTACTCAAGTAGCCGTTTAAATCGTCGGTTTGAATCTGAACGAGTAAATTGTCTGTGTCAGTATAAACTAAATTTACTAAATCACCAAAATTTCAGTCTTTGTAATAGAAATCGTACATTAAAGTTTTGGATTGGTCGAACACACGCCGCAATAAATAGGCTTGTTTAAAACCCGATTGGGGAGGGAGTTGCGATTCTTCAAATTTATTAAATGAGTCTATATATTCGTAAGGGTAAATTCCCTTTTCTAAAAGCATGTCGGAGTTATTTGGAAACCTTTCGCAAAGTAAGTTAAAATCATCGGGTGAAAAGTTTTTAACCAACAGATCTAGCGAAGCTGCCATAAAATGAAAGGAGTCTAAGAACCTGAGTTGGCCAAAGGAAAATGAAATGTAGTTCTTGGTATTTTTAGCAATTAATTTTATTTCTTCCCCGTTAAACTCGTGAGCGCCTTGCATAAATAAGTGCACGTCGTATTTCTCCAAGTTGTGTAAAATCACTGGAATGGGCGTTTGATTCGGGACGACTTTTAACTTGAGATTACAACTAGAGTGCGCGGGGCTTCGGAACTTACCTGTCACATGACAGTGATCTCTGACCTTTCTAAACTTGTTAATAGGCTTTGTACACGTCACACAAAGCAATTCCCTGAACCCAGCTTCGTTTGCGGAACTGAAGGCAGTTTTTTCGTTCTTTGTTTTTGGTTCATTTGGAATTGGGCACTGACACTGAAATTCTTTTGTCTTGTCGATAAGCTTTTCACAGATCCAACAGCGGTTACAATTTTCGTAGATTTTTTGTAACTCGTCAGACCAATTAATTGGCTTGGGATCTGCGAATGTTTCGTTGATTTTTTTTACTTCACTGGAAAGCGATTGCACAAAAGTAATTGCTGCGTCTGTGCCTCTGTAAGTCTCTCGTGAAGTACAAACCCTGTCACACCTAAAGAGTGCGTAAGACTAGCCACAAGGCTTGTGAATCTGGGTTTTAATCACGTTTGTACCGTTGGCGGTAATTTTTCTAAAACAAACTCAAAATCTGCGTAAATGACAAAAGGTGCCTCTTCTTTGTTCTTATAGTTTTCAAATTGTAAAATGTTTTTGCCTTCAGTGGGTTTACACGCTGGTGCGTCAATTCCTTGGCAATCCTCTTGATGACGGGTGAGTCATTTTTCAGTTTGAAAATGTGACAGGCATTTGAAATACAAATATTTCTTAATGAGCGTGTTTATCAATGTTACCTGTCAAATGCGAGAAATTCTTAATCCAACAATAATGACTCGTTTCGCCTTTGGTAAAATAGAGGAAATTAATCGGTTCATCTAAGCGCTTCGTTTTATAAAGAATGTAAAGACCGTCTTTTTTGTCGAAACCAAACACGTTGATTGCTAAATTATTTTGTGATTCGATACGTGGACTTTGTGAGATGGGTGTCGGAAAGCTTACATTTGCAAAATTTAAACCATCTGCTTCTGTGTAAGTCGAGGTTCTATCCGCGTTTATATATTTCGGATTAATTTCCAACTGACGCTTGACATTGTCTGAATATTATTTTAAAGCAGATCTCAACGCCCAACGTATGCACTCTCCTGGTAATCTTTATTTTGGACGTTAATTATTGCTGTTTTAGCTGCCAAATATTTAGATAGTGGAATATAAGTCACGCCGACTGGGTTATATTTCACCACGTTAATAAAGAAAGCTGTTACTTTATCAAAGACCCAACCCGAGCCTCTCTGCTCGTGAGCTTCCACGTCTTCTTTATGTTGGGTTATCTGTTCATCCAATGCTTCTTTAATTTCCTTTTTAGAAAAGACTGCATTATTTTGGCTCGTAAATGTGAAAACGCCGATTTTAGTTTCAGCTCCTGGCTTTTCCATCTTAAACTGAATTTTAATGGCCATTTGTAATTTTAACGAGCCGATTTCCTTAAACTCGGTGAGTGCCCTGTCTTCGATATACTTTCTGTAAAAATAAAAAATATGAACTAGGTCATCTCCATAAAACTTCGGTATCAGCTCCCAATTTCTGTAATTGTCTCTGAAGCGTCGAATTCTTCTGATGTCCACTTCAGTAATCACTTGTGGGTTAATATACGCTTTAATTGCGGTGATCAAGTCCTTTCGCAATATTTTTCCTTTTGCGCCCGTGGCCGTAAATTCTATGTCGTTATCTTGAGCTATTTTTAAAAGCTGGTGGTATGACTGGCAAGTGAGATTTTTAAATTGTCGTTGACTCTCTTTAATCGCTTTTACGAGTTCCGACTTTGAGTGACTTTTTTTAGCGGGCGCCGGTAATGAGACGTTATATTGTTTAGCAAAGTCCGCTAGAAACGATTTTTTCAAACGCCTAAAACCTGATAAAACAGGTTGGTATTGCGGCCTAGTTTCTTTATCCATGCCTATTTTATATAAAGGTTCTTTATTTTAATCTCAAATTTACTTGAGCAGAGTAACCATAGTAGTAGGGACCTGCCACGTTGCGAGCCAGGCGGGTCCTTTACCCATCATCCCTTTTCGCGATAATCAGAAACTAAGTCACGGCAAAATTGGAACCTACATGTATATTTCATAAGAGCGAGATGGGGTTTCAGATGTTTTCAGATTGCCGAGGGTAAAATGGCTTTATGAAATTTTAAAAAGTGAGTCGCAGGTGTTTTGAGGTGTTTCAATTTTGCCGTGGCTTAGTTTTGGTATTTTGGAGTAAACTGGGGGACGATGGGTAAAAGGGGGCACTTGGCTTGAAACCGGCAGGTCCCTACTACTGGCCAACCTCTCCCTGAGAGTGGCACCAGGTGGCATTGTTTCTGTCCAATTTTTTATCTGTTTTCTATGGGCGTGTATACAGTATAGTGCAATCATGAGTAGAACCTGTAAAAGATGGTGCAGTCTACTAATTTAAGTGAACATTTCTGGCCAGCCCATTAAAAGTGCCTCCAGTTTCTTTGAAAAAAAATTGTTGGGCCCCAAAAATGGTGGGATTGTGTAAATCGGTGCCAGGATCGACTCCCTGGATCTTTGAGCTTTCATAATAGAGCACAGTGGCCAAAAAAAAACAAGTATGGTTGAAAAATGTTCCTAAGTGCCCGAGAAAGTTGAGGGTTGCAATCAGACTTTGGAAAAATCCCTTTTCGGGGGTGATTTTGTTTTGTGGGAATAATTAAAAGTTTAATTGGTCAACCCATATTTTTTTTTTTTGAAAGATTAGGGTCTAAACATCATTCAATTTGTGTCTCAGAAACCTCAGAGATGCTGGTATGCATGTTATTGGTCCCTGAACAGTGCTCATTTTACATTGTTTTCAATGGGGCTTGATAGACTGGTACCCTAAAGCACTCATGAAGTACGCCCTCAGCCATGGCCGAGGGCGCATTAGGTTGGCTACTCATGTGATTAATCAACATTTTTGATAATTAAGTCGATGATGATGTAAATGAAAGTGCTTGAAATTAACTTTATTAATATTTTCTCTTTTTGCTGATAAAATCTGAACAAAAGTGAATCTAGGACCGAGTCAATTGGATCCCCATGCTGATCGGGAGCGGGCCACTTGGCGAGAACGCCGGTTGTATACATGTAGGTCGTTCATTTGACTGGTAAAAAGACCTTTAGTTGTATTTAATTTTTCTTTGAGAAAAATTGAAAAAACTTAATTTTTGCAAGTTTATCTTATCGTAAGAGAAGCTTTTATTTGCAGCAGTGAAGCAGTTTCAGGAAGACAAAACGAATCATTTATAACGATATAAAACTCTTTCAATTATTATTATTATTTTCGAAAGGGCCAAAGTAAATGACAACAATAAATGTCTAGGTGAATTATATATTAGGAACTTTATTTTTCTTTTATTTCTTTAATATTTATGGTAATTTGAGTGTAGTAATTGGTGTAAACTGGTGCTTGTATTTTCTGTTCATTTGTAATAAACTTGCTTAGTTTGCGAATCTCGTAAAATTGGCTTTTGGGGCTATCCCAGGCTAAGTTATACTCTGCTTTTTTAGTCTAAACCCATGAGGCGATTTTTTTATTAAAGGAAAATAATAACAATACAAATACTAATTTTGGATGGCTGTTTGGTTGAAAAGGTACCATTGGACTTGGATATCAAGTCTTCAAATGTTTTGTTAATAATGATTTTTGGGGGGCAGTGGTGTGCACCTGGACGCATCCGACTTCTAACCTTATTGGCCTCAATTAGTAATCTGTAAAGTGTGCATACATTAGGGGCCTACCGTGCTTGCTTGAATGACAACACATGTAGCCAGTCAAGGAAGTCGGGTGCGCAGTTTACCATGTTAAAATGTTTACAGTTTTTACCAGAAAAAATCTGTCACTTGTACATTACATTCTATTTTGCCAAATTCTACCCAGGCTATTGTACTAGTCCATTCCATCAACGAAGTGACCAACCAAACATGCCAAAATCACTACAATGATCCAGAAAACGGGGGCCGATCGACCGTCGGGTACGCCGTTCCCAGTGCACTCGTGTTTTATTCCTCCATGAGTGAAGTAAGTGTCCCTGGTTGTTCTCATTGTTATCTCAAGTATTGTGGGCTTTCTTTTAAGAGTTTGTTCTTCCTTACAGTGATTGGAAAGAGTTCCACATACGGCCAATTTCCATTAAATTTTGGAAAATGGACAGGTTTGAAAGGGGTCACGGGGGTGACATTTATTTGTGAATTAAGGTTTCTAATTCTATGCTCATTGGTGTTGTCTGTACATGTACATGCATACGGAACTCTCGCCACATACATGCATGTATTAAAGAGCACCTCTAGCCATGCTCTAACTAAATAAAACATGTTTTCTTTGGTTTTTATCTTTTCAAATAAATATGGAAGCATCCAAATCAAATGCAGTGTCATTTGTCTTCAGAGCTCAACTTTAAGAAGATTAAAAGGGTTTTTTTCTGTTCATGGCAAGATGCATATTCTGAATATGGATTGCGTCATTCAGGGAAAACATGGAAAACGAGTGGAACCCTTGCCCTGTGTTCGTAGTGGATAAATCCTTGTGCGTGCCAAACAATGGCTACAAACAATGGCTGCATGCGTTGTTCCCCTCGTTTTCTCTGTTTTTTCTGAATGACGCAGTCTGCATTCAGATTTCGCATCTTGGCATGAACAGAAAAAAGCCCTTTCAAGCTTGTTATAGTTGAGCTCGGAAGACAAAGGAAACTGCGTTCGATTTGGATGCTTCCATATTGAACAGATAAAATCAGAGAAAACATGTTTTCTGTAGAGGTGCTCTTTAAATTGGTGCACTTGTGCTTGCCGGTCACAGCAATAACATTCGTTCATTCATACACGTACTTAAACGCACTACACAATTGGAAATTACTACCCCCAATATATTTTGAATAGCCTTTGGATAATTGCTGAATATTTAATAATCATGAGTATGTAATGTTTCAAACTTTAACCGTAACTTCATGTGGAACATTTGGCACAGACTATTTCTGACAACAAGCTTTCTTGTAGTGCAGTCCGTTAGACAGTCCAGAAATCTACATTATGGGTGTGCAGGAAACAAACTGACTGAGTAACTTGGTTTTGTGTTTTTTGCCAGCGACTGTAGAATGCCATCATTCCTCCTGTTGCTCTACTAGGTCCGTCACTGCATGCTCACAAGAATGGCTGGCTGGAATACATCCTGAAGGTGGCAGACTCACTGCAGCATGTTCTTGCTGTCGATTCCCTCCTCCACTTCTCCTACCTGAGGTTTCCTCACTGTCACTGTGGCATGAATATTCCTTCATGTACGACCAACAAGTGGCCATCCACTTTGCAACATCTCAGTCAAGAAGAATGGGCATGTCATGTATGTAGTTAAGGGATTTGTGGTAGTGGACCAATGTGTTTAGACATTGGATATCTCAAAATCAACTCGTCCATTTTGAGTCAGTCCTTCAGCATGTGTCCTGAAAAATGTGAAACCCATGGACCTTGCTAAACTACATGTACCTCAGGCAATGACAGATTTGATTATATGGTTAATGCTCTTGCACTTCCAAAGTTTAGCCAAATCAGACATACTGCTAACGTTGTGGTCAGTTATGCTTTTACAAATATTTTTGGTCAGAACATATGAAAGGCACCAATCAATTTGCACAAGAAACACAATGTGTTTTGAGCTTGAGATGATATCAGACAATTGGATGGGGTTCGGTCCATCCCCATACACATGCACAGAGCTCTTTTAGGGTTAACACATTCCAAAACACTTGTCTTTATCTTGTAAAATTGAAGGAGCAATGGTTTCTTAAGTGTTATCTAGATGACTTCTTCAAGTCTCAAGGTAGGGATGTTTGCATAATGTTTATTTTCAAGTGGATTTCATTTCTTGAATTCTTTGAACTGTTTCCAGACACATACCAGTCTCTGTACAATTGGCAGTAACATTCACTGTCTGAATCTCTCGCGTCGCATCCTGGCAGCGTTATGCACCGACGGAATGTTCCAACCCCGATACACCCACTGGTTCAGACTCCCATCAGGGCCATCAAGTACATTACAGAGATTGTTCTCAGAGAGCTCATTCAGTCCAGAACTCTGATCAACCAAAGCACAACTTATCAGAGCAAGTCTGAGTACAAGCCTTAGTAAGTTTCCTCTTACAAGTTCTTTGCGACTATTTTATGCAATTATTTCCAAGTCACTTATCCCTTCTATACTCGCAAATAATACTTTTGAGAACCATTAATGCAGCCATGCCGCTCAGTAGTCCAGTGCCAAAAAGCTGACTTGTCCACCTTTCTTGCTTTCAAATGACATCAAACAGTTGCTGCTCCAGCATGCCATAATAGCCTTTAACGTTTCAATGAATGCATACCAGTACACATTTGCTAGGCAAGTGTCGTTTGATGGTTGATAGCTGGCATTCCAAAGTGGGCAGTGTTGCTTATTGCATACGACATGTCTTAAGTCTACAGATTTATAAGATCATTCAATTAAGCTCTTCAATATCATGCTGTCTATGCAAGATTCATTTCTTTATTCAATACTTGCAGCCCACAAGAGAGCTGATACACCTCAAGTAATTGTTGCTGATTATTTCCTTACCATTTATTCTAACCCAAAGTGTTATATGTCATACACTCTTAGATTGATCCCTGCTGCATGGTTCTACCCTCCACTCTTCCAGGTCGTCTGTTCCCTCAACCTACATGTACTGCCAGAGGCAACTGGAATAGTACAGTACCTCTCCTGCCCTGCCCTCTAGAGGTAATAAAAATCCTTGGCAGTCTACATTGAAATTGTTCTCAATTTGAGCAGAATTTATTCAAAGAGTAGTATTTTTAATGGTGCATGCCCTGCAAAAATTTTTGTCTTTTTGTTAACCCTAACCATTCTGAATCCAACAAGCATATGCAATGGTCCCTAGACGGTAAGGGTTAATCTTGTTTACTTTGAGGTCTTGTCTTTTCTATTTTCATTTTTAACATGACAAATCTGAGGAATAGGAGAAATATCTGTCTCTGAAGCATGCCACAAGCCTGGCCCAAACTCTTTCTCAATGTTAGTGCATGATCTGCACTCCAGCTGGAGACGACATCCTTGACTTGGGGGAGTGGAGGACTTGCAAGGCGTACCGGTATGGCTATTGACACGTGTCCCAACAATTTTGTCCAGGATTGCAGCATCTCTTTTTCCCACCTCTGAACTTTGCTGTCATGCTCAGCAGTGGTGTAAATTTTTGCTGGAAATTGGGGGGATGGGAGAAGGGGGGGACACCATACATGTAGTTGTATAGTGTCACCCCTTTTTTCACATTTTCTATATAGAGGTCGAGGTTCATGATAATCATGTAATTATCATCTGTAATTATATATTCAGGTTGGCATATTTTTGGCGGTTTAAATAGTTTTTGCCTTTTTTTTGAGTGATACAGAAAGCATTTGAAACCCCCAAACATTTTGCAAAAGGGGTAATATAATTAAGGGGACTACAGATTTGAATTAGGGTTTTGTAACTTAGGGGAACTGGTTTAAAAGAAGGCACTTTTTCCATTTACACAAGAAAAAGCAAAATGTTTTTCCCTAATGCAATTTCCCTTGTATCAAATGAAAGGGTGCCATGTACATGTATCTGGCAGGGTGCTGAAGGTTAAAAGTGAGACCACAAATACACTGTTGTTAAAACAATGACATCATCAACCCCTGTACAGTGAATAGGAGATGTGGACACTATCAGTTTTAAACTTTGACTGTCATCCAAAACAAATCAGAGCTGTCATTTCCACTAAATGCTGCTCCTGGACTGTAAAACATGTTATTATTTTTTTATGACCTTAACCCATCAGTCATGTCATGTCAGTGAGGAAAAGTTCGATAACTTGTTTGCGCAAAGCCAATAGGGTCATCCCCAATGAGCTACTGTGACTTTTTTCCCCTATTTTAGGCTGGTCAAGAATACCTGTGGGACCATTAACGTATACCACCCATTCAGCACAACTGTGTGTTATGTGTTTCTTGTCAAAGGGAGTTTGCTGGAGAATTTAGCGGAGAGGAACACAAGTAAGTCAAGTGCATGAATTTGCCCATCAAACAAGAGAATACCAGTGTTGAAGTCGAGTACTTTTTTCCGAGTACTAAGTACTACCGAGTACAAAGACAGGTCGAGTACTTTGACTGCCGAGTACAAGTACTGGTTTCCGAGTAAAAGTAGTTGCACTTCCGAATACAAGTACAAGTACTTCTAATTCTAAGTACGAGTACAAGTAATTCTAATTCAGAAGTAGTTTTATCTTAATTTAGAGACTCTAAGACCTGCCATTGTGTAAAAGAAACACCGAATGCAGATGACATGGCTACAAGAACAAGTGATCTGGCTAGCAATGTCACGGTCACTACACGTGCGTTGCAGCAGTTGACACAACGTGCACAGCGCGGCAAAGTCTATTTTCCAGACTCAATTATTCACATGCCTGTGATTTTTTGTATGCTGGGTTCGTCGTTAGAATTTTCGGGTCCAGGAACCAGACTACCAATGCCCAAGTAAATCGCAGGACAATTCTGGAGTACCACAATACAATTTGCGTATCTGATTGGTTAAGTACACGCACAGGCGGCGAATGGGTCGGATACGTTAATGGTCCCACGTTCGGCCTTCTCTTTGTCAGAACCTTATTGAATATCAGGTCATTGGGGTCGATATTTTTGTACCTTATTTTAACGGCCGTGGAAAGTTAAATTAAAGGATTTTTTTATTGAGTACTGTTAATCGAGTACGAGTACTTTGATGCTCGAGTACAATTTTTGGATGTCGAGTTCCGAGTATTTTGTAACCCGAGTACAAGAACTGTCATTCGAGTACGAGTACTTGAACGTACGAGTACTCTGAAAACGGTACTCAAGTAGTACTCCAGTACGAGTACCACAACACTGGAGAATACCCAGCCATTACCTTCCATGAAATCCTTTTTAATTCAAGACAAATGCCGAAATATCCTCGGGAGGATTACTGCATGAAGCCAACATCTTAAGCTTGAAAATTAACTGACAATAGCACAGTTGGTTATGGCTGGAAAGCTTGTTATTTGTCCAATAATTGGAACATTCTTTTTGCGAGCAGATCATTGATTTTGGTGTTTAAGATTGGACTTTATTGCACTTTAATTGCAGATCCCCATGTGTGTGTGTTCAGGTGTTTACGCTTTTAGTACATGTAGAATGTTTTTAGTTTTATGTTCAAAGTGCAGTGAAGTGGCACTTTTTTCCAAATCAAGAACTTCAATGTGCATTCCTAACTTCCTGTAACGCAACAATTTGGTTGTCCACAGGTACTGGGAGATTTTTGGCGGCCGTCTTAATCTACTCCTTGAACTACCAAGGGGCTCGTCAAGACACTGTTTATACAGACCTTGTTGGATACTGCTGGATTAAAGGAGATGAGGTGTAACTAGCAGACTGCATCATTCACGTTAACTCATTAGGAAATGACAAGGCACGTTGCTCTGCCTAACACGGAATCACTTACATCGGGCCTGTGAGCTGAGTTGGTAAAGACAGTATGTGTTTTTCTACCTAACACTGGATTCCCATTGGATCACTCCTCTCTGATCTGTGAGTTGGAGTAACTTGGAAGTGAGACACCATTTTGCTATGATTCACAACTGTGTCTTTAGAGGATGGCTTACCTCTGGCCTTTGAACAGAGTGAAAACACAAACTGGCTAATGTTTTATGGCATTTTTAATTTTGTGGGCTGCCTGAAAGTTGAAATTACTGCAGCACAACAGTGTGGGAGATTTGCGTATAAGACTGTTAGCCAACAAGAAAGTTTTGAACTTGGTATAGCTTTTTAAGTAGTTGTAAAAGTTGTAAAAATTGTGGTTCATGTTAACTTGAATTTTCCCTTTTTATATTGCATAACATTGAATTCTGCGAACTGCCTCAAGTTCCCCTTTACATGAAAATTAATCAAGCACAACATTTCAGGAGATTTGTGCACAAGTCCTTCAAGGAGGTTTTGAACTTGGTAGCTTATAAAGTGTAGCTGCCATTAACTGTAATGAATGTTTCGTCGACACAGTTTTTCTGCATCTTTGCACTTTTCTTCAAGGTATGAAAATCCTTACACACTACTATTTGGTTAAGCAGTCAAAATTATCCATATTTTCCCCAGACAACTGAGGGTGATATTGCTGTGAAGTCATCTAAGACATGGTTCAGTGCATAGGTATTTCAAGTTCAAATTGTAAACCCAGAATTTACAAACTCAAAACATTTCTGAGAGGGGGATTGATGGTTTCTTATTGCTATGCACATAAATAACAATGAATCAGCAAAGAAAAGAAAAATTGGTCTAGGAAAATCTACAAAAATGCAGGACTTTTTTTGTGTACAAACTATGTAACATTGAGGCTTCTTCCTGAGATGACATCACATTTTTGACATGAATATGGAATTACTCGGCATAAAAACAAAAAGCATTAAAATACCCTTTGAGATTGTGAAACCAAAGTTGAAAATAAGGTTTACTGAGGCACAAAGGTACATTTTACAGGTTTGTAATCAAAACATTGATTGCAGCTACCCTTTAAAGTAGTAAGAAACCTTGTGAAATGTTGTGATTTATGTTAATTAAAAAGGACTTTGTTAGGTGTAGACTGTTAGACTACTATGAAATTTTTAACTGAGTAACGCTAGCAGTAGTTGTACAATTCGTAAAAAGTATTACATTGCCTGAAAATTTGCCTGTTGATTTCATTCACATTCGATAGAATTTTAATTGTGTAAGCTAGTTTGGATTTTACACCACTAAATGTTATTTTGTTTGCAGTGTGTTTTGGAAAATTGTTTTGTGACATTTTGACTCATTTGTAATTTAGTTATAAATGGTCCATTAGAATTGTTATTTATACGCGTATTGTAGGTTGTAAGTTTTCTTTGTGAGATAGTTCTCACAAAGTTCTCAGGGCACATTCAAGTTTTTCAGTACAGTACCTTTTAGAAATTCTGGTTGCAAGTACAACTAGAATGCAACACCACTTCTGGCATTCAGCCGATCCAGTAAGCCCGCCCATTGTGCACATGGGCACTTTACACGTGCTCTTCTTCATTGTTTTCAAGACAGTGGTGTTCAATCATGCATGACAGGAAGGATACCATCAAGGTATCATTAGAAAGAATACTGCCTCTACTTTTCGGAAATCCTTATACATTATAATCATATCTCATGGTTTGGGCATATTAACCCCTTCCTCAGGGTTTGTTTTGTTTATGGGACACCCTGTATAATATAACATCTTGATAGTTCTTCTAAAAGTACGCAATAAACGGAATGGTAACTTTCAATCTGGACGTTCATATTTTGTTTGTGTATTGGTTGTAGAAGATGGGCGGGAAATATATGAAAATCTTCTTTCCCCTGGGTCCGATTTGGGTCCGATTTGGGTCCGATTTGGGTCCGATTTGGGTCCGATTTGGGTCCGATTTGGGTCCGATT